TTTTTTTATGTGATTAGACATTTGAGTTTGGTTCACTCAAGTTATAAATAATTTATTTTTGGTTCTCTTAGAAGAATTATAAATCATTTATAGGATTTTGTTCATCTCCGAATTAATTTAGGCATTGTTTACTTAGATTTTTTTATAAATAATTATATTGGGTTATTTTTTCATCCCCATCATTTTTTTTACACTTAGATAGGTATATCCCATCATTTTTCTACTTTGATATCTCATCAGCCTTCTTCTTTATTACCATCTTGTTTATCTGTATCCTTATTTTTTTTGCTACTACTGTACATGGACTTGACTTGTGACTTAGCTATGTGTGATGATTGTGAGTTGAATGAGTTTATGTTTTATGTTTGAATATCTATGTGTTTATGCCGTCGATTAACTTGTACCAATTTCATGTTTATATATTGCGGAATACTTTGGTACTTGTTCGCGTGCGATTATTTAATACACGTCAAAACTTAATGTTGTAATTGCCAATCGTTGCGTCCTAGATTTATCTTGGCAATATATGTTTGATCGTTGGCGATATATACTATTTTGACCGCGATTGGATAAGTCAGATATAAAGTTGTTGTACACTGGTAGTATTGGATAAGTCATATATCAAGTTATTGTACACTGGTAATATTAGATAAGTCGGTATCAAGTTGTTTTTCACTGGTAGTATTGGATAAGTCGGTTATCAAGTTGTTTTTCACTGATAGTATTGGATAAGTCAGATATCAAGTTATTGTACACTGGTAGTATGGTTAAGTCAGATATCAAGTTGTTGTACACTGATAGTATTGGATAAGTCAGTTATCAAGTTGTTTTTCACTGGTAGCATCGGATATGTCAGATATCAAGTTATTGTACACTGGTGGTATTGGATAAGTCAGATATCAAGTTATTGTACACTGGTAGTATTGGATAGGTCGGTTATCAAGTTGTTTTTCACTGGTAGTATTGGATAAGTAAGATATAATGTTGTTTTACACTGGCAGTATCGGATAAGTCGGTATCAAGTTGTTTTACACTAGTGGCATTGACTAAGTCGGTCATCGAATTGTTTTACACTACTGGTAGTATTGGATAAGTCGGTTATCAAGTTGTTTTACACTAGTATTATTATTATTTTTGTTTTAAAGTATAGCATAAGTCACTTGAAAGTAGCTGATAAATCAGTCATTGCGTTATTTACATAAATAGTATTTGATAAGTATATGTGTAAAAATAGTGTCTAGCAAGATGAAGAATCTAAGTAATTTAAAACATCAGACTAGGATATCTAGTTTTGTAAAAAGATAATAAGATTGTTTTGTTTGACAAACTTTCTGTACTTTATTTGAACTGATGTTGATAATAACACAAATAATTTGTATAAGCTGCTTCTTATAATACTGTGCTAAAGGATTATCTAAATAGAACCATTATGACAAGCACTAAACACAGTGTGAGCAATCTTATCAAACAGTTGGCTGCAAATTCCACAGGAGAGTAGATGGAACAAGCCAACAGTTCATTAGGTTACTAAATTCCACTGTTATTGTCATCTGACGTAAGCTTCCCATCTTCTTAGCCAACAGAGAAAGTTCCTTCATTTGGTGATTTGGCAGTTTCGGGTTGTCATTAATTTCACCGCTTATTGGAAGAGCTGCAAAATAATAAATTTAAAATGAGATGTCCATTAAAACATTTGACTTTGAAATGCAATTACACTTGCAATTAAGCTGTCAAACTTATTCATTTGTGTATGTAATGTATTCATCGACAAAACGTGTCTAAGTTTAAATAATAAAACAATGTATTAGAAAAAGACATTCAAATCGATCGATAATGCAGCTAATAAATAAGCTCGGATTTAATTTATTATTGTGTTCCATAATGGGCTATCGTTATTCTCATTACAAACTATATAAATCACTGACAAAGTGAATAACAAAAGTCAATCATTTATCTCAATGCTATTGCGTTTATAAACGTATTGTATTGTGTCACAATAACATCATCAAAATGATATTATTCCTTTCTAATTTCTATAATTATATATTTCAGTGAATTGCACGACAGCACATTCGGAACGCATGTCAACCTAACAATTCTGAATTAAGATAAATCAATGGAAGATCAACGGTTCAGTATAAACAACGCTCCATTTAATCTATCAGTGGATAGCTCAGACATTTGATAAAATAATATGTTTCCTATAATCAGTTGACTATATTACCACGCTCAGTCTTTAATGTAGTTGATGTTAAATAGTTTGTTTGGTTGTTGCTATTGTTGCTATTGTTGCTACTCCAGTTTATTAAATAGAATAACAAAAGTCAATCATTTATCTCAATGCTATTGCGTTTATAAACGTATTGTATTGTGTCACAATAACATCATCAAAATGATATTATTCCTTTCTAATTTCTATAATTATATATTTCAGTGAATTGCACGACAGCACATTCGGAACGCATGTCAACCTAACAATTCTGAATTAAGATAAATCAATGGAAGATCAACGGTTCAGTATAAACAACGCTCCATTTAATCTATCAGTGGATAGCTCAGACATTTGATCAAATAACACGTTTCCTATAATCAGTTGACTATATTACCACGCTCAGTCTTTAATGTAGTTGATGTTAACTATTTTGTTCGGTTGTTGCTATTGTTGCTATTGTTGCTATTGTTATTGGTGCTATTGTTGCTATTGTTGGCTATTGTTGCTATTGTTGCTATTTCTGCTATTGTTGCTATTGTTGCTATTGCTGCTATTGTTGCTACTTTTGCTATTGTTGCTTTTGTTGGCTATTGTTGCTATTGTTGCTATTGCTGCTATTGTTGCTGTTGTTGCTATTGTTGCTATTGTTGCTATTGCTGCTATTGCTGCTATTGTTGCTATTGTTGCTATTGTTGCTACTCCAGTTTATTAAATAGAATTACATATCATCCATTCCGGAACAGTTCAGCACTATGAACTTCAAAATATATAATGAAAGGAAACTATTTTGATATTCAAAAGCTGTACTCGATATGAGCACATCCAAAAGGAACAAGACTAGTTATTTATCACTCACCTAACGATCCGTCGATGTTTTGTGATGCATTTTCCGTATAATCAAAGTCAACGATGAGACTGTTGTTGTTAAGTGACGTCACCTCGAGCTTGACCCCTGACCGTTGACTTCCATGCACGTTAGTGTAAAATGTGTTGGAAATCCAATCTCGTATCACTCCATTCTCAACCAAGTGTGTAGGGAATAATTCAGTCACGGTCTGGGCATCAATTTTCAGGTAAGAAATACGCGTTGGTCCATTCAGGGAGTGGGTGAACCCAACGCTTACAACAGTACCTGTAAGTATAGAATATTAAATGAACACTGGAATCATAATGACAAGTTATAATTTCACGTACTGTATAACTTTCTCGTTAAGAGTATGCCGTACATTGTAATCAGACTGAAATTATACACAGCAATACATGCACGCGTATGTATCAATATTCTGTTGGCGATTTACAAAAAATGCACTAATGCAACAATGTTCTGATGCTTAAAAATGCATGACAACATTGGACTGTTTCTAAAGAATTTCCAATATGAAATGTAAAACTTCATCCTCATTTAAAATAATTTTCTCTAATAATTGCATTGTGTTTTAATTATTATCAGAACTATGAAAACAAAATATAAGTTCTTATAACTAGGGTTGTCAGCTGTTGTGACAAATGGTAACTACTGGACGATTACATTTTGCATATTTTCAATGGCAATATTGAAAGTTTTATAAAGTTGTAGAACTGCTGGTACTGTGTTATTTCGTCTACAGTGTCTAAATTGTATCCGATTTTAGAAAGTATTAACTACATAATTATTGATAGTGTAAATCTAGCTACCTGAGTCTAAATCCCGAAATAGAGTGTATCGCTTTGTTTCGTCCGCCTGACTAGGGTTCGCCAAACACAGAGGTAGTGTGACATTCTTAACATCAACCAGCGTGTAACCTGTCAAAAATACAGCCGAGCATTACTACAATGTCAATATGGAGTAAGCTGTTTTGCATATGTGATATTAAATTACAAACAAGTATACCGAACTGAATACTTAAGTTTGAATGGATGAAAGTAATCGTAGATACAAATATGAACGATAAGCTTGTTAGGAATACATATTAAGAATATACGACACAATAAACATGTTTTGAAATTAATTTACATGACGTAAAGAAAGTGTTGCCATAGGAACAGCGTATGCTTTTATATCTAACAGACTGGAATCGATTTATCAGATTTCCGGGGAAGTTTACTTTTTTTTTTATTAAACAAACTTTTTGGCAAGAAAGCCAGTTACAAATTATATCCACAAATATTATATAGGGGAGGTAACTCTCATCTACATTAAGGATATATACGTATGCGGTATGCTGTGAATAGTGGAACATTTTGATAAACGATAGTAGTGATAAAGGTAACATAAACATTTCAAGTTTAGCCATTTTGAGACAAGTATTCAAATGTCTCTTCATAATTGATATCAGCAATGTTTTCTATTAGATTGGGTGTACAGACAAAAATGATCAAATCAAAGGTAGCTTTCCAAGAACAGTCCAATATAAATGTATACGTTTTTCGGCAGTTTGGGCAAAAAACATTTATTACACAAACATTATAAAATATAAGCCCTCATTGAGTAGCAGTCTTCATTTAAACAGAATGACTACGATATTGAACTCTTTTAATGTATAAATGTTCATATTTTGCACTTGCATAATTATTTACAATAAATGTCACCTATCCCTTCGAACCTGTAGTGGCAAAATCGCCGGTTAATGCAATTTTCGAATTTCTTTTCTTTTACATCTCATATTATTTAGTGATAATCGACCTAAAGAACATAAAACGTTCACGACGTAACAACAACTTACCGGAAGTACTTTCATGTCTTGGTATGGTCGATTTCATGTTATTCCTGCTTGCTGGTGTTGTGGTTTGACCACGTGAGGTGGTACCAGGGAAAGTCATCGATGTCGCAGTAACCCCAAGGGTTCCGGATGCTATTTGATTACTGTTTATATTAGGCTGTGGCAAACCGATACTACCAGATGAACCTGCTGGCACGGAACCAAGAGAAGCTCCATTGGACAATGGATCAAATTGAGCAGACATGCCTGGTTGGGATCTTACCATCTTATTCTGGTTAAAGCTTGATGGACGAGTTTTTCTGGCGACTGAAATGTTATAAAACATAGTCAATGTGAGTACTGATTCAAACTAACTCCAATTTGTGTAAATGCAAGAGAACATTTCCTTGTTATCAATTCCATTATTCTGCAAAGACTATACATCCATCAGTTCACAATTATATGTAGACTCATTGTTCTTTTCCTTTTAACTCGGTCTACATTGTTTAAGAAATGCCAGTATTGTCATCCTATAATTACAGAAAACTGTAATCTTAAGATATTTTCCTGCATAAAGTATAGAATTAAAATAATTAAGCCCTTTTCCTGTATCGGTCATGTAAGGTCTATACTTTCTTAAGTAGCGATGAGATATTTGAAAAAGGTAAAGCTTAATTGATTATTCATGACGTCACGAACAATACCATGATAACGAAAGGTCAACGTAATTCCGCCTCACTTTGAATATTCTTGACGCAACCAATCCACTGCAGAGTGAGAAAACACTCAAAAATAGCTTACATGTACAATGGTCGTTTATGTTGATTTTGTGGATTTTATGAATTAGAATAATTGACGTCGCCAGTAAAACTAAATTTGCGACAGTATAATCACAATATACCACCGCAAATTTCAAAATACAGTATGATTATCCCCTAGTTTGCTCTATTTTGTGTTAATAAATGCATATAATTACCATTTCTTTAAGCACTGACATGCCGTAAGAACATATTTGCATAGCATATGCTGCTCACAGATAATTGTCCTCTTTTTTCACTTCTTTATTGACCGAGGAAACAATAAACTAAAACGACTATTTATTTTCTTTGGAAAATCCCAATGAGCAGGCCATATTATCTTGTTTACCACTGTAGCAGTAGTAAGAAATTTACTAAATACATAATAAAGTTAATCAACATAATATTGCGCTCAAAGCATAATCTTGTGAAACAGAAATAAATAAAACGACATTTGGCTCACATTTACCCCCAACTACTAAGCCTTCTAACTTATCAACCAAGCACATTGAAACTTACCTTTTTGAAACATTGGTGGCGCAAACAGAGCTCCTGGAGGTCCTGAGGCTGTGGCCATTGAACGACTTTGGAAACTTGAACTAGGAAACGGTGCTGGAACTGATTCTATAATATTCAAACAACAGTAATTTGTAGTCATAACTATACTTAGAACGTTTCAATTATTATTTTTATGTACTTATGACCAATATATATCGTAATTTTACTTAAATTAACATTTCAAGAAGAGATTAGGATTGAATCAATGACGTAAATAATAACTTGATAATATCTGTAAGAAACGTTACCAGGACTGTCTGGGAGAAGATCTACTGGCGACGATTGTAACTTGTCAGGCAAGGATACCACCATTGATGTAAATGGAGTCACAAAGTTGTACTGCAACATAATAACACACTTATATACTTTGTAATTGTTGCCAAAGGCCAGGATGCATTCGGAGAACTACAGATAAGAAATATTACTGATTTAAAAAGTTAGAAACGTTAAAATATGGACATTAGATTATGAAAATTGATATTTAACAAGAGATCCTCCAACAAAATGTTTAAGGGTGCAATAAATATGTTTTTGGAAGATGCTATAAAAGAAAAATGAATGTGCAATTTGCAAGATGGATAGAAATGAATAAATACTTCAATTTTAGTACCTTCAACGCCATTGTTGTAACATTCTTTTTTAATTCTTGTTGTTCAATCTCATTTGTTGAAGCGTCCATCTGCTGTAACCATTGCTTAATGGTAAGATAAGCCCATATCTTTTCTGTGACAGCGTAAATGTCCGTATTTTGGGTAAAGTTGAGCTGCACTTCACCGTCTGTTGGAACTTCAAGACTGACCGGCCCGTTTAAACCGGTAGCAGTGACGTTCGGCCTTATATCATACGTCACTTCATTTGCTATCCTTCCACATACCACAATTTCGGACCCTTCAAAGAAGTTCNTCTTTTCTGTGACAGCGTAAATGTCCGTATTTTGGGTAAAGTTGAGCTGCACTTCACCGTCTGTTGGAACTTCAAGACTGACCGGCCCGTTTAAACCGGTAGCAGTGACGTTCGGCCTTATATAATACGTCACTTCATTTGCTATCCTTCCGCACACCACAATTTCGGATCCTTCAAAGAAGTTAGGAACGATCGTTTTTGTCAATGTTGTTTCATCTACAGAACCCGGCAGGTATTTAAAAGTGACGTCTTGCAAAAGAACTGCTGACATTTCCGAGTAAAATTCTGAGATTTGAATGGCAGCATCGGAGTCTTCGTAGATCTTTCGTCCAAAGCCATTATTTTGGGCAGCCAATTTTTTAATGAAATTATAATCGGCACCTCTACCAAATGCAAGAGCGAATATGGGAATTTTGTCTTCGTTGAATTTAATAACATTCTTCAGTATCATGGCTGGATTTCTCTCGCCTACCGAAGGCTCTCCATCAGTAAGAAATATAAGAACTGGTGCTCTTGTCTTGTCTGTCCGTTCGTCTAGTAAGGCAACCCCTCTTCTTATAGCACCCTCAATGTTTGTACCTGTAGAATCACCATTAAAAATGTAATATGCAGTTGATTCGGTTAAGCAGAATACGCTATGAACGTACATTGTATCCTTAACAAAACCCATTATATAGATTTCTCGAAGCAATGTTATCAGCATGTTATTTACATTTGTTTGATAAAAAACAATATTATCAGTATTTTTCTGAAATTGAATTTAATATTTTATAAATTTTGAATTGTATTTACCTCCGCCGTCAGACACATGGTTGACATAAGTTGTTGCTCGTTTGATATTGGCAGGAGTTGCAGGAATAAGTTTTTCAACAGTTTCCCATCGGTGAATACCTGAACTAAATGTTAAGATATTTACTCTGTCCTCGATTGGTATCTGGGACAAAATAGTGGACATAGCTTGCTTCAACTGAGCCATCTTTCTCCCGCGCATAGATCCACTTTTATCCAGGATGAAAACAACATCCTTTGGTTTTGGTTCAATTCCACTCGGAGCAAAAAAGTGAACGAAATATCCATCCACCATCTGTTAAAATTTCATGTAAAACAAAACTTATGAATGAGGAGAATTACTGGATGTCTCCTTAAAATAAAATAATTTGTACTGTATGTGTGAAATATAGTGTATTTCTAGGAAAAGACTAATTATGGCTAACTATACCAAACCAACTAAATTGCAAGTTGACAAAAAAAATGTTGAAGCATCTAGAACCTGCAATGGGTAGGTTTTAAATTCTTATATATGTTGTACTCTAAGGCTTCTGTGTTATTTCTGATTTTTTGTTACTTTGTTTAAATGTCTATAAATAGTTTTACAACGCTTGACAACGCAACGTTGTAAAAGCAGCATGTGGATTTGATTTGCTGTCGAATTGGATTTCGCAAGATTACTCACCAGGATGTCGCCACCGTCGGTTTTCCTATCCACGTCATATTTGACTTTGAACTGACAATCCAGACCATTCGGACCGCCTTGCGCTGTCTGTGTATTGAGGGTTGGTGTAAATAAGATATGTGCACGCTCGTCAGACGGACGTGTTATGTTAACGGCTTCATCGGCATCTATGTAAGAAAATCAACAAATATTAACATAGGTAAATCTTACCCTGATCCCAAGGCATAGGATTGCAGTGTCTGTCACATCTAACTAGAAGATTTATCAGATAATAGTATAGGTGCAGCCACATCTGCTGTAAGATGCAGTTTTTTCTTATAGTTTTTTAAATTTATATCTGTGAAATGGATGACCATTATGGAATTCCGAACATCTTTATCTAATAATGCAATGGACTTAAATTGAAAGACGGTGACATTAACTCTGTTCCACTGTGCATAAGAAGTATTATCAAATGACTTCTTTCCTCTTGACTGAGTTTAATAATACAGTCAAACTTATATTAAAACATGTTCAATTCACAATGAAGCAACGATAATGAGAACATCTAAAAATGTGTCTCTTAGTGGAAGAGGATCTCTTAATGGGGTTGGTCTCATCAAAAGGTTTCACTGTATACACAATGTATATTCAAAGCTTGTATTACTATAAAGTTTGAAATGATATTACCTTTCTGATCTTTGATTGTGAACAGGTCACTCTTGATTGGTGGAACTCTCAGCTTAGTTATGTTTCTTGATTCTTCTATGTCCACCTCAATGCGTAGGTCCGCCACGGGTTCTCCGGGCTTCACATAGATCACCTGATTGTAGGAACCCAATTTCCGTTGTAGCAATTCCTGGTAACGTAGCTCAAACGTTATTTTTTGTTCTGCAGCCACGTTCACTTGAATATTGAACGTATTTGTTTCCCTTGGTCTGTGGAATGCATAACAAAAGTAGTTTTAAAACAATATGTGGATTTTTGAAGTAGCAATAGCTGCTTTTACATATGTTAATCGGCAAGAATCATTGTTAATAGTGTAGTGCGTTTATAGATTAATGGGATAATTATGAGAACGGTTTTGATTCAGTTGTTTTTTATGTTCTTGCTCAATTTTATTCTATAAATAATTCCCACACAAGCACTATTCACCAAACTAACTGTTACATTCTATCAATGAGGAAAATAATCAAGGAAATACTGAAGTGTCACCAAAAACGTAACTCGAACTTAAATTCGATAGTAACACAAAGGAAATATTTACATGGACTCCAAGACAACGAAAATATAACCAGGTGTTCCGGAAGGGTAAACGTATCATGCTTCATCGAAGACACCCGCAAATGTTAACCGGTACAACAATCAATGACAATGTATAAACCGTCTTTACTTACTTGACAGAGATGTGCGCCGCAGATTTGCCTAGGCTCTTGTCCTTTTCATACACCTCTCGGGCCGTCTCCTTTGTCGTGACGTTACCGACATACGTCTCGGTTCCTACAGTTCTTTTACAAATAAAACGAACAAAAAGTTTGGATCATCTGCTCCATTAAAGAGTCAATGTTACTCTTTATTTCGATTTGTTGTCAGTTTCAAAACAATTTTTAAAAAACATCAGTTATCTTAGCCTTACAGGATAAAGCGATGTTATCTTTTGTAAATGTAAAATCTCGAAATCAAACCATACTCTTTTTTCCTACCTCGCCAAAACAGTGATTATATATTTCAAATATATGAATATATATACTCATATAACGAAATGAATTGGTGATGTGTTAATTTCGTGCTATGTATAGAAAAAGTATTATTCGCGATTGCCTGACTTCTTAATATCACGACTGTACAGTAGTGCTATATAATGATAAAATATTATTTTAGCAATATTGAATTGTATTATTACATTTTAAACAGTAATCTATGTGTTAATCTTCGTTGTTAAATGGTTACGTTTTGCTCTGACAGTGTCTGTCATATTAACTACACTACCTATGCTAACACTTACAAGGTGAAGTTAGAGATGAATGCCTCGTTGGGAAGTGTGACGTCAAATGTTGATTCATGTGACTTAAGGTCAGGGTTCACAACCTTACTTGTGATGACTGTCGTAGCAAATCTATATCTGATATCGGACTTGATGTGGAGATAGTAGATTCTCGGTGTCTCAAAAAACAACTTGTAATTAAATATGTACGATATAGGTTACAAATGAGTATGAGTAATTGCAAAATACAATGACTATTTTTGTATGTGATAACCTATTCCTACCAGTTTTTAGCAACTTTTACGTCCAAACCCATCCATTAGACACATGCTGTCAACAGACGGTCGAGATTTTTTTACCGCCAGACTACTGGATCTGTATACAGACTTGACGTCAGTCGGTTGCATATAAATGTTACTGACAGCGTAAACAAGTATGAATGGATGTATTCGTGTGTGTGTATATAGACATAACGTATTCCGTGAAATGTTCCCATGTAGTCCATTCATTTACGTTGCATTGTTGTATTTTATTAAAATAAGCACGTTTCCAGAAACACGATATATCAAAGCTTAATATGCAGATTTTAATAGGTTAACGTTTCTCCGTTAAATGTTTGGGAAAATTATGGTTACATATATAACAAGGAACGGAAAAAACGTATTACCGAAACAGTGTTTTGAACGTACTTTCAATGTATACTTTCTATAGCGTTAATCTCCTACAAGTAAATAAATGCTAGCATTTATATTTTAATCCAAACAGTCACCCATATTCACAAAGAAAATATTTAAAAAAAAAATGTACAACGAACACCACTCGTAACTATTTGTCTAACGGTGTTATTCAACAATATTTCTATATATTCTACATTGAAATTGATTCTTTCTGCTTAGAGAATAATAATTTATTACCTTAGTTTGAGCTTCGATCCTGCAGAGAACTACGAGGCCTGTCAGTAGTAAGTAGAGGAGACGCATGGTTCTGTGTTCGTATAACACCGGCTGTAGAGTTTCTCTCAATAATACACACGTTCACTGCTCATGAATGTCTTGTTTACCTACGTGTGTATGGTCTTGACAAGGTACACCCCTCTCTCTATATATATACTACAGGTAAGGAATTCCCGTTATACAGCAGCACTTTTACTCACCTGTACATTCATGGAAAAACTTTAACGTCACACTGGTCACGAAGCTGACACGATGAGCTCCATTTCATCAAAACAATATCTTAATTTCCCTTTATAGTAAGCTTATAATGTAAACATGCTAATTTAAAGAAAAATATGAAACGAATATTTTGTTATACTTATGCACGTTTTATTCCTTATATAGAATGGTGTAGTTCACAGTAACAGTTAATTCTGGTAAATATGTAAATCAAAGCTATTATTCCTTTATTTGTTCCATTTCGTGTTTAATAAAAATATAACTGTACCACACGGTACCGCAATGGTTAGTGGGAGTTTGAATATTTTCTCTTTTCAAGGTAAATTAAACAACTGTTGAGGATTTTCAATGACGTAGTCGTCAGGAAACTCGACGTGTACATGTCAATATTTGCAAATTGATTTCATTTTTCATATAAACCTTTGATTTCCACGAAATTAAATGAAAGCAAGGCGATAGTGACATTCCTGGTTCCCACATATCGCAATTAATTCCATATCCACAGGCCGGCTTGCTCGGAATATAAAGATTTGTGTGATACATATGTCCTATACTGAAGGACAAATATACGACACAGGGTTTATAGAGATGCATGTTGGTAAAGACCATGGGAAAGTTCCTTTTTACCGTCATGATCTTATTGGAAAGTATACTTTACCTCGTGCAATATAAATATTGAAGTTTTTATTTATGCTCGTTAGTGTATCTTGAGATTTTATCGTTATTTCTTACTTTTTATAAATGCCATTTAATGTTGTAAATACGTTAAAATATTCAACAACAAAAATGAAAAAATAAATAGATAAAATAAGAACGTGATATCACCTAGAATTAAGTAACAGATTTCGTCAACGAATCTTTAAAAAAAAGTCTTTCCGTTTTCTAGAATGTCACAGGATCTAGTTAGCATTATTGGTACATGGAATAAAGTTTTGGTTCAGATTCATTATACGAAGTTAAGCGACAGTTTTTAAAAATTCGCTCTGTTTGTATATAAAAAGTAGCTGATAGATAACAATCAACCATCACGCTATTTCCTATGCTATTTAAACAATAATGACTATCTAATTATTTTAGCAACAAGTGATTTTTGTTGCTCTGTGTATTACTATTTATTTTGAAAAATGCGATTTTTTTTTATTGGAATATCACATATATGATACTTGAATGGCTGATTTGTTTAATATTTTAAAGGAGTGCAGGCTCATGATAGGCTCCCAAACGATATCATTCAGACGTGTGGCATGAAAAAATTGAGGATAGGTTTGGTTTGATGGGTTTGACAAGATAAAAGATTGTATATCATATTCAACGCAACAATATCTACACGTGTTAGTCTGCAGCTGGGGGGGGNGGGGGGGGTTCACAATTGGCCCCTCCTTTGACTTCAATTTTCTTTTGATGAAGTGTAGACCTAAACCTTATCACAACAAAAAACCAATTAAAATTCAAATGAGTTTTTCGTAAAAGTGTAAAACTGAAATTCTCAAAAAGCCGGAGTTTCCCCCCCAAAAGACGAATATTTTCAAACTAACAATGCAATGGACTAGGTCCTGAACTACCAGTGACACAAAAATATCAATCCAATATAAGTGGTGGAACATATTCAAAGAAGGGATAAAATGACCATATGGTCTATACATCAAAATCCATGACTATATGTATAGTCTAATCATTATGATTGATAACTGACAGAAAAAAAGACAAATTGTTCCGGTTTGGATGGAATGAGTATTTAATCAACAGAAAAGATGATTGGAAAAGATTCGATGAGTGATTCCTTTTCAAGATGGTCACCAAAACATTCATTTTACTGTCCAATCAGTTGTCACTATCAATGGAATTCCGAGATTGTGTGTTTGTTTGCTACTTTGTTTTTATATATATATTAAAGTTAGAAGCCGTATTGATAGCTGATGACATTTACAGATAATGTTTTGCAAGACGCAAGAGCATGAAATGTGTTCGAATGACAGACTTAGAAAAAAGAACAAAGAGAAAATGATGCAAGACTTTGAGATTGATTTCAAACTGGTGATTCTAGATTCACAAGAAAACAACTTATTTCAAGCTTTATAGGAACCGTTTAGTCCTTGTGTGCAACTGTTTTTGATTTTGAAGATTGCTATGATAGCCAAGATAATAAAGAATACTTGATGTAGGAGCACACATTCCCATAGTTCGACCAACTTGGCATTGGCAGTGGTAATCTTTTATTGGATTATTTTCATTTGGTGTCATGTACTGAATCCAAACATTATACTTAGTCTGGCTTTTGTGTCGGAACAAACCTGACAACGAATGAGGTATTGAGAGTGCTTATGCACCCATATTTCATAATCTTTAAGAATTCTGACTTAGCTCTCTTTGAGAAAGCTAGTTGTTTTCATCATCTGAGCCAAACAGTTTGTTTTTGTAAGTAGAAACTTCATTTGCTGTGCAAGTTCTCTGTCTTTTCTCTCAGTTTCCGGTGATCTTTGATAAATTGAGACATACAGTCACAATCTTAAAGACCGGGGTCGACCTATTTCTTTTACCAGGTGGTAAGCTATGAGGCCTAGACCCCGCCCATAGCTGGACAGTGCTCTATAAATAGCTAGCAGCAAGTTAGAGCACATGGCTAGTATACAGCATGTGTTATAAACATCATAAACACTTGAGTGATAGGGTATTACTTACAAGCTATGTGTTTCGTTTTCGTTTCCTTGCCTTCTTGTACAGAGTGTCAACATATCTATTCCAAATATTTTGCCTGAACTTGAATTTGGTACTGCGTGGTGCATGTTGGTTTTGAGGATTCCAAACAGATGCATATCCACGATCAACATTTACATTCCATTGACAGACTGCCAAGTTGGCTCTTGGTTTGTATTGGTCATCTGAGAAAGCAATTCGCTTGTCCTGGTAAATGTTTATCACATTGTTGAAGCTTTCTACATAAAATGTGTCTCTTCCCAACCTATAGTCCTTTGCATGCTTGAATAATGTTGATTTGGTTAGTATGCCAATACGTAACTTTTCTGCTTTTGGATCAGTAATTCCTATCCTTGATATATCGTAGTTTGGATCTGTTTTATATATTGATGTTAGGTTACATTAACTGTGATTGTTCTTGTAATGTTCTTATTTTCCAAAGATTGTCGTATTTTACAGCATTGCCCCTGCAGTTTCTAACGGCCCAATGCATGTGGGTGGCAACAGGTTCAACTTTGTCACTAAGCTGAAAAGACCAAGTTTTTCTTCGAAGAGCAGCTGGACCTGATGCTGTTCCTTTGAGTGCATTTTTGAAAGATTTCACACAATGTCAGGTGTCATTTTGGTTTTCGGATTCGCATTCTTCTCTGATGTACTTATTGATAGATAGGTTCCTGTCATGAGTATGGACTCCCACAGAGACGGTGTTGTCAGATAGATACTTATATATCTTTTCTGCTCCCAGTTTCTCATGTCGCTGCTTTGGTAACATGTTGGCAGTTTATAACTTCATGTGTGCGATCACCAATAGCAACAACACTTGTGTCCTTGGCATTATTCCTCCATCCATGCCTTTGCATCTGTCATCATATCAATACTCCCTAAGGTTTCATCTTCATAAAGACCAATTTCCTCGAGGAGTGCTGTTGATACTGAATCATTGAATTCATCACGAATATGTTTTTGGTCAGACTGAAAGAAGTGTGATCTTTTTTGCTTATTTATTTTTCCAATACCAGCACCATAAACAAATTTTGCACAATGTGAGGGCAACATGCAGATAAAACCATGCTGAACTCTGTCATTTACTAAATAACCTTTATCTGGAAGGTACTTATGGCTGTCACATTGAAATTTAGCCTTTCAAACATGTCCTTTCTGAATGGGTTTTTTCATTTGAAGATGTTCTTTACAATGTTCTGAATGGTGTTCTACAACTTTAACCAAGTTTTCGAAGACTGATCTGCACACAGAAACAGCTTTTGATCAACTTTCTTCTTTGAAGCTTTACTACTATGTGCTGGTATTGTATCCATAGACTCATCCTGTTGACCAGTAGTCCAAAACTCCAAAATAGTCTCCAGGGCTTGTACATTTCCGACTGGTTTGTTTAGCCTGTTTGTCAGGAATGTCCGTACATTTTGCATTTTCCCTAGAATGACGTCTTTTTTAACGTCATCCCCAGAAAATTCAATTCTAAAACTTGGTGTCCTTTTTTATGGGCTTGCCATGGTATACACGTGTAGATCTATTGTATGTTCGCTTGAGACTGATACTGTGGTAATGAAACGAATGACAGTGGTCTGGGGATAAATAGATGTGATTTTCTGATATTTCCTATCTCGCTGACCCTAATTTACTGGCTTTGAACCACGTCAGCATATATTGTTCTATTATCTTTCACACCAATCTCAATCCCAGAGTATTTGTTTTCTCTCTGTCCTGGCCAATGTTTATATTTTGGGGCCAGTCATCAGAGTTCTGACATATTGAATTGCACCAGCTAAAGTATTATCTGGTTATAGTGTTTATCCCAGGATACCAAAATAATTAAAACATTTGACTATTTTATCATCTTGCACTAATTTGTATGTGTTTACCGTGCTTCACTTGAAACTAATGCTGTGGTAATGAGACAAATGACAGAGTAGCCTGGGGATAAATATCTGTGATTTTCTGATCTTTCTTATCTTGTTGAACCTAATTAACTAGCTTTAAACCAAGTCAGCATAGGGTACCAAATGTGTGCACATAATGTGCTCTTTTCTTTCACACCAATATCAATCCCAGAGTATTTGTTTTCTTTTCTGTCCTGGCCAGTGTTTATAATGTGGGGCCAGTCATCAGGGTTCTGATACATTGTAATACACAAGTTTTTATTATGATTTGATGTGCATGATTGGTTATCTTACAATGGATAATTTTTATTGCTGTGGTTATATTAAGATATTTTA